CTGCATTGTTTCCCATCTTGTATTAAAACAGCATTACACGCTGAATGTGTGTCTCGCTGTGTGCCATCACAATAAGGGATTAGAGTAAACTTTACACATTATATAGGCTACACTAATGTGATATTTAGGTTGTTCATTTAACTATTATATGCAATGTACGTTTTTGGGGGGTGGTTAATGAAAGTGTTCCAAAACATGACATTAATTTCTTAAGAACAAATATTTATATATTTTATCTCTGTTGTATCCCCCTTTTTTTTGTCTAGTATTGTAGTGAGAATCAATGTTCTGATAATAAATGATATATTATGGGCTACCAAGTTACCAACCTTCCAAAATAAAAGTACGGTAGTAAGTGTGTCCAAGAATCACATGAAGCTTTAAAATAGACTTTGCTAAAAATTAATGTATATACAAATTAAACATGCAGTTTTCTGTGTTTATGGTTATATACTTACAAAGGTAACACAGTGGCTGCACTAATTTGAATATCTAAGTGAAAAGGACTTTAATTTTTTATTTTATTACATTGACAAAAAACTTGTCTTGTTTTCTTACTCTACACCATGATTTTCTTTGTATCCAAGTCATACAGTAAACTGCAATTTTTTTTCATTTCCTTGTGACTGAGAGATGCTTTGCTCTATACAGGTTTGCTCTGTTCATGTGACAGACTGTTTTGTTCTAAGACTTTGTTCCATACAAATAATTTATAAATTATGAAAATACATTTTTTAATTTGTTAACTTAAAAGTTTTCAATTAATTACAGCTACCAGACATTGATCATTGACATGATCATCTACAATGCACCCTGGAGAAACAGATAAAACCATACAGAATCAACACTCTTGAAGATGATATGAGTTGAAGAATTACCACACTCTTTACCTTAAGAAGAATTTTTGTAATCTGTAGTACTTTAATAAATATTGTATGTGAAAAAGTTATGTTATTTTTGTGAGAGAAGCAGAAATCGAGGATAGTGTGTAAATATATGTAAGGTTGATATTTGGAAAAAAATATATATGTGGTCATAAACCTTGACTATAAAGCACTTTTTATTAAAAGTTCTAAAAATATAATGTTCATTTATACTATGAAATATGTATGTAAAACTTTAAAAAAACGTTGTAATTAAACCTCTTAATTAATAGAAATATTTTAAAAATTGACAGATTTCTCTGAAAAATTAATATTGGGCTACAATGAAATGTACTGAAAGATATTATTTAAATTAATTTTTAAAAGTTAATATATTAACTTGATTGTTTTCTCCACAATATTATTTCTTCTCTATTGTAAAAACAGCATAACTGATGAACTTCTGGATTTTTCATTGTATTATAAGGTTGCCTTTATGCTTTAATCAAAATACCTGTTCACCTGCAGTAAACATTCACAACACAACATTTAAGGTAGCAATACTTATACTTTACACTGTATTCCCTTAATAGAAATTTCTGAACCACTATAAACTTAATTATGTACAGTTAAAAAGAGAAATTGCTAAATTAAACAAGTTTTGAATGTTAGATAATTTAGGAGTGGTCTTCATATTGTTGAGAATAATAAGCAGCATTTCGGAAAATAGAACAATTTGTACTAATACATGAACAGTTAACAATATGTACTAATACATGAACAGTTAACAATATGTACTAATACATGAACAGATAACAGTATGTACTAATACATGAACAGTTAACAGTATGTACTAATACGTGAACAGTTAACAATATGTACTAATACTGAACAGTATGTACTAATACATGAACAGTTAACAGTATGTACTAATACGTGAACAGTTAACAGTATGTACTAATACGTGAACAGTTAACAGTATGTACTAATACTTGAACAGTTAACAGTGTGTACTAATACATGAATAGTTAACAGTATGTACTAATACATGAATAGTTAACAGTATGTACTAATACATGAACAGTTTGGTTGACCAAAAGTTTTTATTAGTTGGTAGAAAATATGGTGTGGTGGACAAAGTTTGATATTAATGTTACGACACACTCGTGATACTACCACACCAGTGAAAGTCTGTAATTATGCTTTCGTATGCATAGATGTTGGATAATAAATCAACAAATGTTGTTAACTCTTAAAAGAATAAAGTTTTCGAGAACAACTAGTATATGCCTTTTTTTACTGGTTGAGTTAGAAAGTTTTTGTTCCTTTTAGTGGCAGTTTCAGTTTCTAAAATTACTTACCTGAAATTAATAAAACAGAGTAAGAATAAAAAATGGTTGACCACCTGGCATGTTGTTGCTGTTGTGTTTTCACATAACTTATAAATTTTCATTCTTAGAATATTTGATGTTGTTATTTCAGAAATTGTTAAATTTGAATTCCGGTATAACCATTGTATTTTTCAGTTTGCAACAAGAAAATATGTCCTTTATATTACTTCTGTTTCATACTTTAAAAATGTATCAATTTATATAAGAATGTCAGGTATTTATTCGAGTTATGATTACATTCTGTGAGGGGGTGGTAAAAATTTGTCTCTAACCATAGGTTAGTTTGAAATTTATAACCAGTGCTTCCAAAGATTTATCTGTAATAAGCACAGAAAGCTTGAAATGTAATTCAGTAGTAATAATTAAGGAAAGATTAATTCTTAATCAGGAAGTTAACTGTCCAAAGAACACATAATTTTTGCTGATATTTATATACATTTGGCTTTGGTGCTTTCAGTTGTTAATAAACTGACTAGTAACTGGTAGTGGATTAACCTGCTCATAGTGCAAGCAGTCCTGTTATACCAAGCTATTAACATACAAGAACTCTCCTGTAATTATTTTGTTCAGATTTTAAAAATATTATTAAAAATTAATTATTTTAGATATTAAAGATGAGACTAAAATTTATGGCAAGTTTTTAATGTCAAGACTTTAAACCTAATCTATTCAAGTTTGACCACATGTAGACATAGGACATAACAGTTTTGTAATTCTTATTAATATTGTGACATTATGCTTGGCTATTAATACAGGGGGGGCCTCCTTTAATATTTTCCTGAGATTTTAAAAAGATTAATAAAATGATTCTTCTATATTTTAGCAAAGAGACTAAAACTTATGACAAATCTATTCACATTTGACCACACATAGACCTAGGATCTAACAGTCTTGATGTTATACCTGACCTTTAATCTGCAGGAGTCTTAGTGAGATTTTTAAAAATCATAATAAAAGTAATTTTTCAACATTTTATTCAGGAAAAATTATATTTCACTGGTTGATTCATTCTAATTGTTTTATGATATGGTTGATTGTCTTTTATCTGCTTCTTGTAATATTAGGCCTATGACAGGTCATTTTCATAATATTTTATTTTTCAGATCACATCCATACTTAAAGTAAGTTGTTATCTTTTTTAGGATTTGCTTTTGGATTATGAAAAATGGGATTTTAGTTTGTGTTAGTTTGGTCATTCTCTTTTTCAAGGTCATTTAATTCTTATAATTTTAGACTACTGAGCCCTATTGTTATGTTTATCCGAATTTACTGAGTTGATAACTAAGTCATATGTGTATATATATATTACAACTTTTTTTCAAATCACAAATGCAATGTAACTTGATATTTGTACAATTAAATATTTTTTACATCAAAATTTCTCAACAAGTGGACAGACTGCAGAAGCATGAGAAGAAGGAGGCAGAAATTCTATAAATATGAAAATTCATACTCTGAAAAGATTGTCATAATAGTTGTATAAATATATATAATATATATAAATAGGCATATTGGCTGAAAGTTTAACAAAAAAACTCGGGAAACAAAAATAATAATAATAATGATTTTTGTTTGGTATTTTGTATTTGCAATTTTCCAGATGGAATGATCTAAAAACTGGGTTAAAATAGTATAAAGTATATGTATTGAATATGCCACAAACAACTTTACATGACCTATTTATATTATAATAGCAAATGCTGACAACGAATTAATTTTATATCACAAACAAGAGTAATAAGCATCCTCATAAGTTATCCTTCAAATTGTTCCTATCCAGACGTTCATTTCAATTAACACAAGTCAAAACTGTAAAAATATATTTTTATTATTTTTACTCTGAAGAGAGTTATATCTCTCTGCAAACCTTTACTTAAGACCAGCATGGCCAGATGGTTAGGGTGCTCGACTCGCAAAGTGATGGTCGCGGGTTCAAATCCCCGTCACACCAAACATGCTCGCCATTTCAACCATGGGGGCATTATAATGTGATGGTCAATCCCACTATTCGTTGTAAAAGAATAGCCCAAGAGTTGGCAGTGGGTGGTGATGACTAGCTGCCTTCCCTCTTGTCTTGCACTGCTAAATTAGGGACGGCTAGCACAGATAGCCCTCGTGTAGCTTTGTGCGAAATTCAAAACAAACAAACCAACTAAAACCTTAACTTAAACTTGTCTAGACAACTACTACTTTTCTCACTCAAACAAATTATATAAATATTTCATTTCTAAAAAAATTTGCAAATTTTTCCAATTTGGAACATACTAAATCCTGAGGTGTTACTTTCTGGAGCAAGATCTGATCATGGAGCAGAGATACATTTGTATTCTTGTTTTACAATTTTCTGATCAGTAAGCTATAGAGAGAAGGTGAATTGTAAACACAGTTTCCAATAGGATTTCATACCTCTCCTCACATAACTGCTTCTAAGTTTTACGCTCATTACCAGCCTTGAAACTCCCATCTACCCCATGTTCAACATGGTTCTATTGCATCTTTGCATGCAGTAACCTTCCACCAACAAAAGTGTGACACACTCTCCTGATGCAAGTTAATTCTATACTATTCAGCCTAACCTTCACTTCTCGTTTAGGCACAGTCGTGTTTGAACAATACAAAATTTTGCTCATGTTTCTTAACTTCACACTTGACTTATTTTTGCCTTATATCTTGAAGTAGTATTTTTGTTTTTGCAGTCGTTATGCATTTAATTTACGTTTTTTCTTAATTTTTTTTGTGGAATTACCACATTTGCAATCTGGATTCTGAATTGTGTGTCACAAATATCACTGTCGTGAGAACTGGAACTTCATCTGTTGTTTCTCAGGCTTTAGGTTCTACACTTTTGTCTGAGGAAGTCTCAGCCTTAGTTTGACGGGAAATTGAACACTTTATGACACAGCCAGCTTCCTTGGAACATGGATAAGATCCTTCTCTACAGGAGGAGTCGGGTTTTGACGTTAAAGATTTGGATAGCTAAGCCTCCCTCAGCATTTTTGGACATTATTTCACTGGTGTGTTACATTTTGTCTGCGCCCACCTAGATCTTTGGATTTATCTGCTTTGGCTTATTATCTAGCAGATTTTCCTTTTCTAGAGTCAGAACTTTTGGAGTCTTTGGTATGAGTGTGTGGGGGCCAATCCTGATTATTTGATTAGTTTCTTCCAGACCCAATTTTCCAGACTCCAACTGACCCTAACCTCTATGCATAAGTACTTGTCTACTATACACCTCTGAGGCTATCCACTGATCCTCTGCACGGTTTTTGGGGTAGACCTGCACCCTCATATTTACCATGTTGGTACATTTATCCTCTTCAGCCATTTCCCTCCAAACATGGCTCCTCTGCTGCTGGGATCTACTGGGTAGGAATGCACATTTGTTTCATTTGTGCCTACTCACTATCTCTATCAGCACGACCTCAGAATGGCTCCATTTTTAGGCAGGTTTTATTTTTGAGATATCCCTGAGTACTTGGAGTCCGTGGAGCAACATTCCACTATTTCTTTCCCTGCTCCCACTCCTATTTTCTGTCCCACACCTACTCAACTTTTTCCTGTTCTCTCTAAGGTTTTGGAGAGAGTTGTATTTCTCACTGCAGAAACACATGTTGACTATGGTACTAGTGACTATCCATTGGGATCTGGCATAGTAGATGCCTGCTTGGCCAGATTTATTTATGTTTGATGG